GCCCCCCCCTCTCTCCCCTTTCTCTTTTTTTTTGGGAAAAATTTTAACCCCCCCCCTCAAAAATTTTTGGGACCCCCCCCCCCCCCCCCGTTCCTGTCTTTTTTATCAACTCATACACAACTATTTGTCTTCTGGTTGGATGAGGCAGTAAGTCAGAAACTTGGCTCAGTAATATCTGTCAAAGTGGGTAGCCATGAAAACTCCAGCACCACATTCATCAGAAGGACACTCAACGAGGTTGACTAATTTTGCCATTTTCATTACCTTATAGTATTCCAGCACCGTCAACTTGACCTTCTTTATGCTTATTCTTCCAGAGAGTGGTACTTCTTCCTTTCCTTAGCCCCACCACGAAATCTCAACATAAGATAAAAGGGTGGATTCCTTTTGAATGTTGTAGTCGGATGGCCTATGTCCATTTTCCAGCTGTTTGCCAGTAAGATCAGCCTCTGCTGACAGGGAGGCATTCCCTTGCCTCTGCTGACCTGGAGGCATTCCCTCCTTGTCCTGAATCTTGGCCTTTGCATCTTCTATAGTGTGTGAGGGTTCCGCCTGGAGCAAGGCGGTCTTCCCTATGAGGGAAGGGAATGCATATTCCATTGCATTTCCCAGAATTTTGGAGAACTTGCAGTTGGAAAGGCTGGAAACTTCCTCTGACTCCTTCAGTGAATGGCTGAGGAAAGAAAACCAAGCTAGGAGAAGATTTGCTACAGTGCATGTCCTTGGCAGAACTGTGTACATGCTTTTTGAACATGGGTAGTTGTAAATCCAAAAGATACATGTGATGGGAATTGATGAGGTGGGGATATTGGAGTCTAGACCTAGTCTTTAGGTGAAGCCTTTAATCCACTTGTTAAATTTTTATCATTCCTCTTTGGCTTGTGCGGGGTCTTTCTTTTAAAGGGGTCATTTGCATCTGCATTCAAAGTAGTAGTGATGGAACCCTAGGCTGACCAGGATACTGCCTGAGTGCATTCTGCCAAGTGAAGGGCAGGCCAGCATAATGCCAGAATCCTTACACGCCCCACAAACTATGTCTTTGGGTGTTTTGCTCACATGTATGTATGTGCCCGGTGCTTGTGAAGGCCAGAAGAGGGCGTTGCATCTCCTAGGACTGGAGTTAGATGGTTGTGAGCCACCACCATGTGGGTACTGAATAGCAAACCCAGATCCTGTGTTAGAAAAGACAGTGTTCTTAACCTCTGAGCCATCTCTTCAGCCCCTTTAGTGGCATATTTGAAAATTTAGGAACAGGAAAAGCTCATGAGGAAATGAAAGATCAGTTTATTTTGTAAAATGTATGTGGTAATCAAATAAATAAAATGGGAAAATATTTTATGCACAAGGTTTTATGTGTTCAAACATATTAGGAATGTATGTTGTATATCAGTACACAGCTGGTTGGAAAGGGTTGCTGGGACAGTGGGCAAGCCAGGATGTAGGTTCATAAGTATATGAAACTCTTAAAGAATAAACAAAAATATTATTAAAATATTAGTTATTTAGGGGATGAAGAGATGACTATGTGGCTCTTCTTCCAGAAAACCTGGTTTGATTCCCAGCATACACATGGCAGCTCACAGCAGTCTGTAACTCCAGTTCCAGGGCATCTGGCCTCCTTAGATACACTAACATGCAGGCAAAATACCTGCATGCACATAAAATAAAAATAAAATAATAATTATTAAAAATATTAGTTATTAGAAGTGGAAAAAGATGTGGTGGAAGTTGTTGTG